GCATTTGGTCGCGAGCCGCGTAACTCGAAAAACTAGTCGGAGAAAAAATAACTACTTTAGTTACAACACACAGTCATGCATATGTACGTATACATATATTTATGTAGATGCCTGCAACCACATGTGTCGTTACATACTTATCTACATATGTATGTAGATATAGTCAGCAAATTATTTATTGAATGAAGTGCGCGCGCGCATTTACAACTTGTTTTCATTCATAAAAAACTTCATTGATCGCGCGATGAACAGTGCTACGCACTCTTAACTATGTTTGTATGTATGTAAGTATGTACCTACTGGTAGATATGCATGTACGTAGCTAGCTGGCTGGCTGGTAGAGTTTTGACTCCCTCGTCGGCGTGCGCGCCCACTAACTTCACTGCACCTCACCACTGTGAATAGGAGCTTTGATTGCAAAATGCGTAAATTCAAAAAGTCGTCAATTCTCTTGCACGCAAAGTCTTTTAAAAAGTCCTTAGAAATTAAAGCGTTTTTTTACAGTTAGTCGCTTTTAATTTAGGTTTCTAAGCTCCTTTTTTTCTTCAAACCGTATACTTTTTATTCGTCTCTAATAACTCGTCTATGTTGTTGTTGGATGTAAGTTTTTTTTTTTTTAACTACAACTTTTTCGTTAACGCACAAAATTTCGCCTGCGACTTCGACTTCACTTTTCGAACTGATCAAACAAACTGAAAGATACAAAAACCAGCAACGTTCACATTTGCTTATCGTTCGTCGCAAAGTAGACACACACATACATACATGTATGTAGACGCGCAAGGTGGTATGTGTGCTGCGGCACACGTCGCGTCTTACGTTGACGCCGCCATTCACAGTCGCCGTCGTCATTGTCGTTTTCGTCGGCTACTTCGTAGTAGATATCCGTTGTCAATGGACGATCATTCGTACCGTTCGTCGGATGGACGGTGTTTTATTCGTGCTTGCGGTTAACATCTTTACGAAGCCTACAACGGCAACGACGACGACGACGACGACGGCGACGACCAGAAACTTGAATGAAACCCCATATACCCACACATGCAGGCATGCAAACGTATGTGTGTTGGCCGCACTCACACTAATGCCAGCTGTTGTTTACCTGTTTCAATGCAATTGCTGCAATTCACGTCAGTTATACCCTTTACCGCAGAGTGTCTAGTTATATCCCAGTACGGAACGAAACTATGTAGTTTAAATATATCGATGTTCAACCAGTTTTTTACCCACCACAACTAGTTGTGCATCAGTCAGCTATCCGATTCTTGTATTGCATTTGATTTCAACTACTTTAATATGCGTTTGGCTTAAAGCACTGCAAACTCAGTATGTTTCGTATGAATACGCTTTCGTTCTACACTTCACAGATGCTTTTTCATATTTCCAAGACACAAACATTTTTTTTTTATTAAAATTTTCACATGTGGCTCTGTTGGGACTCGAACCCGTAGCCTCTGGAAGCTAACAATTAACAACAGGCATCTCTGCACGCTCAGCTACAGCCAGACATGTAAAAGCGCAGTTTGAATTGTGTGCAAGCAGCAAGTCGATTGTCTGTTTCTGCATTTGATTTCGACTACTTTAAAATGCATCAATTTGAAGTTAGTTGCTACATAAGCAGATATAAATAAATTTTTCTGAGGTAATTGGTTGCGCTATGCCGTACTGGGATGTGCAAGTATATGTAGGAACAGCACTCGTAGCCGGCAGCGTCGCAGCTGCGCGCATTTAAGGTGTGTTTGTATGCGTTGCTGCTGCTGTACGCCGGCGATCTGCTGTTGCTACACAAATACACGTACACATACACACATGCACTCGCACATCGACTTTTTGCCACTTCCGCTCATCCCTGCCACTTTCTGCACAAGCATTTCATCAATGAGCGCTCGAAGATATGAATGAATTGTCGCAAGCAGAGTTGCTCCGCTTGTCTTAGCGCTGGTTGTTTGTCTGCTGGCAGTTCACCCACTTACCGCTCTCATTCTCCCTAGTTATCTCTACATATATACTATGTATAGGCACAGGTTTTTAGATACAGATATTGATGTAAGAATCTGTCGCTGCCGCTGTTGGCACACAGCATCCAGCTGAAACGTCAGTACCGAATTCTCATTCTATACCGAAGTAGCAGCGGTGTATTGCATTGTTGTTGTTTACACGTACTGCTTGCGGCTGTTTTTATTTTTTTACTCATTTTTGCGCAGCCGTAAAGTGTCCGTTTGCAGGGTTGCCAGCTGTGAGGAAAAGTTGATTGTAAACAATTTAAATTTAATTAGCTAAATGCATTCACTGTCTGCATTGAGCCTTGTCTCCTTAAAAGCCATCGTATGGAGCAAAAATTTACCGAAAAAAAGGCGCTAGTACAAGGTACTCATGAAATTTAACGTGTAAACATCTGTGTGCTGAAATGGTTTCGAACTAGACCCGAAAAAGTCACGAACTAGGCATGAAAACGCCTCGAGCAGGTCGCGAAAACTTCCCGAGCTATCTCCGAAATTGTCCCGAACTAGGTTTGAAAAAGTTCTCAACTAATATAAATTTCATTTTAATCATTTTGCTATTTTATATGTTTTTTGTTCACTTACAAACTCTTTCATTCTTACAACAAACATATCATTATGACATAGAGAATGACCGATACGAAAATCTCAGCTTCCCTGGTAACGCACCCTTATGTGATATCGCCTTGCTAGCATCAATTTTTAGTTATAGATGCAGTTATATAATTTAGAATAGTTAGATCTGTCGATTGTTGTTATCCTTTAGTTTATGAGAAAGAAATTCCTTCATAAACGCAAATATAGCTAAGAATAAACAAAAAGTAACTGAGCCTGGGCCACACTGGAGAAGTGAAATTGTCTCATAACCAATATACATACATACATCTGCTTTTGCTTAAGGTTATATTTTTGTTTTTCATCTATCTAGATCCCTACCGCAACCCCTGTTCGTTCTAATTACATTTATGTTATTGTGGTTTCCTTTATCTTAATTTTTATCTTTGTACTCTAACAAAATCGATAGTAACATCCTACAAAATATCGCCAACACAACCGATAAAAATATCGATAAAACTTTCGATAGCAAAATCGATAATAATATTGGTAGCAAAATCGATAAAAATACCGATAACAAAATCCATAAACATATCGGTAGCAAAAATCGATTAGAAAGTCAATAAAAATATCCATGACAAAATCGCTAAAAATATCGATAATAAAATCGATAAAAATATCGATAATTAATCGATAAATATTAGATAACAAAACCGATAAAAAAACTCGATAACAATATCGACAATAAAATCTATAACAAATTCGATAAAAATATCGATAACAAAATCTATAACAATATTGATAACAAAACCAATAACAAAATCGATAAAAATATAGAGAATCCCTAAAATCTTTAAAATCCCAAAATAGTTCCCAGATTGAGCCTCTGTGTCTGTATATATATCCTTTTCTCTATAATTACCTTTATTTTAATCTTTTTTTCTCTATCGCCATCTTTACTGCTATCGGTATCCTCATCCTCATCTTTTTTATTAATATTTATTTTTGTTTTTACATTTATGTTTATCATTTTTTTCTTTATCACATTTACCTTGGTCTCCATTTTTGCCTTTATCTTTACGCATCTTTGTTTTTGTTTTTATTTTTACTTTGCCTTTATCCTTTTCTTTATCTACCCGTATGTACGTGAGTACCTTTACTTTCATTCTTGTATTGGTCTTGTTTTAAGTGTTATTCTTTAACCTTTTATTAGCAAGTTTTTGTTAAATTAATACCATGTGTATACACTCAAGGGGCATTTGTTTCAGCCTCAACTATTTCCGTTGCATCATTTCCGTTGCACCATTTCGGTGTGCGATTCCCGTTGAATTTGCCAATTTACTCCCAACCAACCAACCACCGCTAAAGAAGTTTTAGTTAAATAAAAATAAAATCGTTTAAAAATTTAGTGAACTATTTATATTCTTTGATACTTTGGAGAAAATCTATCGTCGCGTTTTTGAGAAATGACAATCCAAACTTCATAACCTGCCAAAATTAAGGTACTACAAATCTTTTATGTATTTCTAAGACTATCCAAAGTAACCAGCATGATCGGAAGAAGTTGTGAGAGCACTTGAAGACTTGCAGCTTTAGATCTGATGTGAGTAAGCCTTGGTCCGCCGTGAGGCGTCGTCCAAGACACAGCAGGATGATGGGATGAAAGACTGAATAAATGAGCGTGCTACTTTAGTCGACTATTTACAATATATACCGCGGTAGATAAAACCAAGCAGGCTGCATAATCTCTAAAAATCTAGTGTAGCCTAGCGATGTAGTTTAGGTGGCCATTGGAAAGGCAAAGGCATCTAAAGCAAATTACCCCTACGCACTGGGTATGTTGATGCTAATATACTTAGGGCCAAAAGGAGTTAATGCCTAACTAAGAGCCTTAATTCAAGTCACGGAGAGTAGTCCCGAGAAAGATGTCAAGTATTTCAGCTTGATGACAACGAGTGATAGACTTGGCGAATTAGTAGTATCGCAGCGACAACAAACTGAACAGAACAGCACCGAAGTAGTCCAAATAGTTTATTTTCAAGCTACCGAAAGTACTTTAAAAAGGGAGGTCATGAAATATTCCATCACCGTCGTAAGCATACACTTCGACCAATCCTTTTTCGGTTGTTTTATGCTATTACAACACAAACAACAAATCGTAAAGATGTGAAGACAACCGCAGTCCATGACATTGCTTGAATCGTAGGAGCCGGAAGAAAATGCCCCAAATAGAGTTAACAGGGTAATTAACTATGCATAATCAACGCTACCCATACTAAATGCATATAAATCAACCAATCAGCCAAATTACTAAACTATCAAGGTTCCATGCCGGCCGAGTGGTTAGACGTGCGTACTACCACTCCGAAGGGCCAGAGTTCGCTCACTAGTCCGAGCAACTGAAGTGTTAAGTGAGGTCCTTCTTCACCTGGTCTTTCCGTCGCACAAGACGCCTTACTCTTTTTCTGCTACCAGCATCGTGACCCCTGCTGCATACTTTTAGAGCTGGGTCGTTTCTGTCCGTTCGTGCAACTTGGACAACCAAGCGGAGCCCATATATTGTAATCCGCCTCACTGTGTCTACTGTATCATTGTAAAGTTCATTGTTCCATCGTCTGCGATACTCACCATCGACAACGGGCAAAGTCCCGCAGTTCTTTCGCAGAATGTTTCTCGCGAAAACCCCATAGAGCGGCAACATCAACACGGGCGTTATGCATCTCAAGACTTATTATTGGTGTTAATTCTGGTTTCTTAATAATCGAAGTCCTCTATTTTTTTGTTTGGCTTATAACTGCCAGCAGTGACTTGGGTACCGAGACACGTATGCTATGACTGTTTGTCTGATGACAGGAGATACTTCTTTTTGTTCTAATTCACTACCAGACCCACGCACTTGTTTCTCTTTTTAATTCTGATTAAACAGAACATACGTAGTCCTCGTTTTTGTCGCTGATGTTGATGTCGTCGTCGTGTAAAAAATGTTGCCTGAGCGGTTCAGTTCTGTGACTCTTATTATCTGCTCCAACATCAGACTAAATAAATCGCGGGTTTGTGCCAATATTTGGCGTATGTCCAATACCTTGTTTATGGTGGATTTTCCAGGTCTGAAGTTA